TACTAGTGAGATTGAATCACACTATGTGACGTAAATACGTAGCCTTGCTCAGTATATAGTTATAATATTTTAGATCGCACAAAATCCTGTTGGTACAACGTTAACCTATACTACCTGCTGCGGGTCATCGGCGATGAAACAGATTCCCCCACCAAGGCCTTCTGGTGAAGAGGGCGGCTAGATACGGAGCATGTAGAACTTGTAGGGTCAACAGTCATCTCGCACACTGACATAAACATAAGAGTTTCATATCAATGCATGCAGCCAGTGTAATGATTACATTGGTGGGCAGAGGGCTTTCTAAATTCAAGTCAACGGCCAAGACGGAGGCTTCCTGTCGATGGAATCATTAGTTACATGTTCGTGACCAAGACGAGATCTCCAGTCAGAAGACATTGGATCTGGTTTGACCGGGAACGGAATAGGCTTCGCCAAGACACACAGCGCATAAATGATTACCTCTTCGGCTTTCAGCCCAGATATATATAGGAAAGTAGTCAGGTTCCCAGCTGAGCAGCGACCCTACGACCTCAGCCGGTAATGTGACAGATGATGAATCATGAATGTGATGTACTGGTAAGCAAAACCGCTACAGATGCTACAGGAGGTAAATCGATCGTACCTATGTGTTTTGTGCCACAAGAGGTTATGATTAATAAATTATATTAGCCTTAATGGCCGCATCGCTGTAGAGTAATGTACAGTGCTGTTCGATAAAAGTGACTCACCTGATTTTTTTACCAAATGTTCTCTTCTCCGATGAAACGAAAGTTGAGCTAAATTCAAAGGATAAGCGATCTAAAATCCGAAGAAAGAACCTTTGAAAGCTCTTTGAATTTAGCAGTAAGTACTGTCAAGCATCCGTTCAGTATAATGTTCTGGGGATGCTTTTCTTTTCATGGAACTGGTTTCTTAAAACCTATCGAAAAGACCCTTAGGAGCGCGCAGTACAAGAGAATTTTAGAGTCTTGTCTGCTCCCTTCGGCTGAAAGGATGCAAATCGACCCCATCAAGCTCATTTTTATGCAGGATAATGTTCCCTGTCACAAATCAAAATTGATGAAGGAATACTTTGATGAGAAGCAGGTGAGTGTTATGACATGGGCGCCCCAATCTCTGACCTCAACCCCATAGAAAATTTATGGAGCATTATAAAGTACAGGCTCTCAAAGAAGGGAGCAGACAAGACTCTAAACTTTGTACTTGCTGCTCCTGAGGGTTTTTTAAATAGGTTTTAAGAAACCAGTTCCATGAAAAGAAAAGCATTCCCAGAACATTATACTGAATGGATGCTTGACAATACTTACTGCTAAATTCAAAGAGCTTTCAAAGCTTCTTCGGATTTAAGATCGCTTATCCTTTAAATTTAGCTCAACTTTCGTTTCATCGGAGAAGAGAACATTTAGTAAAAAAAATTAGGTGTCAACTTTTTCGAACAGCACTGTATATCAGGCTAATATAAGATATTATTGTTACTGTTCTGTCTTCGCTATATATTCTGAGGCCACGTTATATTGATCTTATTACAGTACTAGTCCTACATTAAACTTAGTTTTTATTAGAAATTTAGAGAAGAGTTGTTAAACTTATTCAAAGACAGTCAGATAAGTGCCATACGCTTGATTGACTAAGAAGTTTTTTTCCTGCAGTAGGTTTTCATTTCTTTCTGCAGTAGATTGGTTGCCAACGATATAGAACCCACTCTGTTCTGCTATTCAACCCATATCTGGAGAGGGAGAAGAGATGTATTCGTACCTTTGAATGTAACGAACTCGATTGAAATTCGAACTCGGCTCTCCGATGTTTCATTCCGAGAAGTTATAAATTATGCCATAATGAACATTTTCGCCCAGTCTTGACTGATTTATTCACTGGACATTTTTGATGCAGGATATTGTTGTCTTAGTTTAACATGTAATCCGACCTCAAAAATATCTTTCCCGTTTATTCAATTAGATTCACTGTCCTGTCATTTACAATTGCTTTTTGTCTTCCTTCTTTTCAATTTTTTTTCCCTTTGTTCTTTCATTCCATTTATTTTTCCTACTTTCTTTCGTTCTTTCCTTTTTCTTTTTTTCCTTCTTTCTTTTCTTTTATAAACGACTTATTCCGAAACACTGTATGCCGTTTTATTTAAGTGTTGTAATGTTATTGATCCTTTCCTTGTATCATAGATGTCCTTTATTACGGCCCAGTAATATATTCAGAATGAGGAGCCATGGTGAAGGAATGCATAGCGGCTTGGAGTGAGGAATCGAGGAGCCGAGTTCGAATTCCAGTCAAATCTATTACATTGGGAAAGGTATGAATCCTCTTTTTCTCCTCTCCCCAGCTATGGGTAAATAGCAGGACAGACCAAGTTCTATAGCCTTGGATGGCAACTGGTCTACGGCAGAAAGAAATGGCAATCTACTGCGGAAAAAGTCTACCTCAGTTATGTATCGAAAGATACATGATCGCCTAAGCGTGTCTCACGCATGGCACATAACTGACTGCATATATACCGCCCCACATGTCACATTTCAGTCCAATTTCTAGCAGGCCTATTTGGTTTATAGTCAACTAGCAGTAGAGCCCGGCGTTGCCCGGGGATGTAACAGTAAGAGATTGATCAAGTATCGACCATCATAAAGACTGAAAAATAAAATTGGCAAAGATTATTGTTTGAGGTGACGGACACGCATGTCTTAATTAGTTTTTTTTTTGTTTTTTTTTTTTTTGAATTGGTCAAACCCAAACTCAAACAAAAACATTGTTTTCAATCGTTATGAGTCTACCGATTGAATAGAATTTTAATATAAACAATTGTCTTGTAAATGGAATTTTTAAAGCATTCTGAATGTAAAAATAAAGAAAAAAAGTGTGCAAGACAATAAGAAACACTACTTGCCAAAAAAAATGAAGTTTTGTTGATATCGGTTGAAAAATGTAGGAAATCCGATCCCATATATAAACGAACACAGACACACACAAACAACCTGGGTTTTATAATAAGTATAACACGATATGAATTGAATTCCCCTTTCATTGTGGCGACGTAATCGTGTTTTCAAATTGATTTCGTGCAAAAACAATTCTGTTTTTCCAAATTTTGGCGCTGTCAGAACCACCGCAAGGTAATTTTCCGTACTCCTGTGAAGTTTTGTTGAAATCGGTTGAAAAATGTAGGAAATACGATCCCATATATAAACGAACAGACACACACACACACACAATCTGCATTTTATAATAAGTAAGATTTATGTCTGTTTTATCTAAAACATATTGAAACGGTCCAGAAATACACGGTTTGTTTATATTTATCTTTTTAAACAGAAAGGTAATAATAAAAGATTGTAAACAAACAAAAAAGTTATTAAAGAATTAAGCAGTAATGCAAAACAAATACAATAAAAAAAAAAACAACTTACCAACAGTTTCTCTATAAATCATTATTATTTTGACCTTTGCCTTCCTTTAAAAAAATCTACAATATTTTTTCGAACTTCCTCCGATGAAAACCTTCCTTTGTTGTTGTAAAATGTTTTCACAACAATTTTTGCTGCAAAGTGAATTCCTTTTTCAGTGTGTTGTTCACAAATAAAAACATATTTTCGGGAATAAGTTTCCAAAGTTCTTTCAGCAGACTCTCTTGTAGTGGATTCATTATATTTTACAATAAATTTATCTACATATCAAAAGAAGCACAAACGAACTCTGGCTAGATCGAACCATAGGACCTCCCCGAAAAAGTAAGTCAAAGAATTTAGTATGGTTGTTCTTCCACCATGTTTTGTATGTAGTTTTGAAAATTTTCTAACAAACTAAATCTTGTTTAGCATTATGTCCATGAATAAACCACTGTCGTAACGGTATAGGCGTTCCATCTCACTGGAACTGGACGTTAAGATTTTGGTCAATGCAATACATTCTTTTATAGATGGAAAATGTGTTTCAGGATCAAAGGCTATTCTCTAAATTAAAATATAATCTTCCTCTTTTTTTTAATTTAAAAACCGTTAAGACAACATTGCTTCTTCCAATTGAGTAAAATTCTTTATCGTATCAGCTGAAATAAAATCATGTAATTCATCAGTTTGGACCAATCATTGTTTTGGAGGTTTTCTGAGTTCCCTTGTATTCGGCAAAAGAGACGGTTTTCTTATTTTTTTTCTAAATGTATTGTTGATATTGGATGTAAATCCCAATACAGTTTGTTTCGTTTTTCTTTCAAAATAAATTTCTCTTCAAAATATTTTCCAAATAAACTTCTCTTCAAATTATTTTATACAGAAAACTGAATTTTTTGTAGGAAACTAATCAATACGATTAGCGAATTTTATCTATTTTTCTACGAGGTCGGATTTTACAAGAGGAAAGGAAAATGTCGATACTTTTTCACTGTTAGTAACATATTCACTAGAAAAGTTAAATGCAATACATTTGTTAACACACAACCAAACAACAAAGAAAAAGTTACTAATATTCAAAAAGAGGATTTCACAAGAGGGTTTTTTTCTCTCGCTTTATTTATCATTACTTGCCTTGATAAAATCGAATGACGAAATGAGTCGGCAATGAAGAAGTACTATTTTCCGATTGTCTGTTTTATTAAATTTGACTTCTCTACAGATATAGTCTGAGAAATTTCACATATCTATATATGTATGAACATATTTGTATAGGTGGATATGAAGAGTTGATATATATATATATATATATATATATATATATATATATATATATATATATATATATATATATATATATAGATAATAATGTCTTTTGCAGATCAAAATGTGTTTTTCCCTAACGGAAATATTGATATAGATAATTCCTTTGAGACGACATTGTAGCAACAATGACCAATCCTGATTCGAACGATAATGAGAATATATATTTGGAGTCGGTCTGCCTTATTACTTAAAATATCAAAACATATTAGGGAATAGTTCGTACATATTCAATGTCCAGACATATTTATGTTTTCTCTATTTTGGTATGAGTTGCAGAGACTTCAATTAATAGTTTAATTGCCTTAAGACAGAAAGAAAAAAAAGTAAGAAAGAAAGAAATGAAGGAAGCTTGAACGAAATAAAGAAATGAAGAAAGGAAGCATGAAAGAAAGAAAGAAAGAAAGAAAAGGGGATAAAAGGGATGGAATTAAACGAAATCACTGCGTACAAAATGATTAAATAAAAAAAGAGGTTCATTTTTTTAAGGTAGAAAAACAAATAAAAGAAGCAGACAGTTCACAAAGTATATCTTTCTTTAGAAAGAAAGAAAATAAATAAATAGAGAATGAATGAATGAAAAATTAAAGAAGCAAACTGGAAAGAAAGAAAGAAAGAAAGAACGGAACAAAGAAATAAAAGAGATCGTGAAGAAAACAAAACGCATGAGCCTAATGAAAAAAAATAAGAAAGAAATAGAGAGAGGGAAAAAGATGAGAAAGATTGCGATATAAGTAAAACGAGATTATCAGTATATGAAAGATAAAAAGAATGAATAAATGAATGAAAGAAAAAAAGGGCAAATTGATTGATGGATTATTTTTGTACTGCTTATGAACTCTTTGTATGTTATTTAAAGCCAGAAAATATTTTTAGATTGTAAGAATTTTTTTCTTTTGTAGATAATAATGATTTAGTGATACAAGTTTTACTAATTAATACATAGTTGGAGGGAAGAAATGGTGAATTCATACCGTAACCAAGGGTATTTCCCAAGGTTATTTCCCAAGGATATTTGTGCATAAGTAAATATAACAAACTCAACTGAAAAAAGGCAATGTTAAGGGAGGTTGTAATGGAAGGATAAAAAGAAAAGAAATAAGGATAAAGAATAAAAAATGACGTAGATATCACGAAGAGAGGAACTAGTTTAAAGAAAGAAAGAAAGAAAGAATCTAGGAACTAGAAAGAAAGAAAAAAGAAAGGAAAAACATAACGTAGGAACTAGAAAGAAAGAAAGAAAGAAAGAAAGAAAGAAGGAAAGAATCTAGGAAGTTGAAAGAAAGAAAAAAGAAAGGAAGAACATAACGTAGGAACTAGAAAAAAAGAAAAAAGAAAGGAAGAACATAACGTAGGAACTAGAAAGAAAGAAAGAAAGAAAGAAAGAAAGAACCTAGGAACTGGAAAGAAAGAAAGAAAGAAATAATCTAGGAACTAGAAAGAAAGAAAAAAGAAAGGAAGAACATAACGTAGGAACTAGAAAGAAAGAAAGAAAGAAAGAAAGAAAGAAAGAAGAAAGAACTAGAAAGAAAGAAAGAAAGAAAGAAAAAAGAAAAGAAAGAAAGAAAGAAAGAAAGAATCGAGGAACTAGAAAGAAAAAAAAAAAGAAAGGAAGAACATGGGAACTAGGAAGAAAGAAAGAAAGAAAGAAAGAAAGAAAGAAAGAAAGAACCTAGGAACTAGAAAGAAAGAAAGAAAAGAAAAGAAAGAATCGAGGAACTAGAAAGAAAGAAAAAGAAAGGAAGAACATAACGTAGGAACTAGAAAGAAAGAAAGAAAGAAAGAAAGAAAGAAAAGAAACTAGGAACTAGAAAGAAAAAAGAAAGAAAAGAAAGAAAAAGAAAAGAAATAATCTAGGAACTAGAAAGAAAGAAAAAAGAAAGGAAGAACATAATGTAGGAACTAGAAAGAAAGAAAAGAAAGAAAGAACCTAGGAACTAGAAAGAAAGAAAGAAAGAAAAAAAGAAAGAAAGAAAAGAAAGAAAAGAAAGAAAGAAATAAGAAAGAAAGGAACTAGAAAGAAAGAAAAAAAAGAAAGGAAGAACATAACGAACGAACTAGAAAGAAAGAAAGAAAGAAAGAAAGAAAGAAAGAAAGAACCTAGGAACTAGAAAGAAAGAAAGAAAGAAAGAAAGAAAGAAAGAAAGAAAGAATCTAGGAACTAGAAAGAAAGAAAAAAGAAAGGAAGAACATAACGTAGGAACTAGAAAGAAAGAAAGAAAGAAAGAAAGAAAGAACCTATGAACTAGAAAGAAAGAAAGAAAGAAATAATCTAGGAACTAGAAAGAAAGAAAAAGAAAGGAAGAACATAACGTAGGAACTAGGAAAGAAAGAAAGAAAGAAAGAAAGAAAGAAAGAACCTAGGAACTAGAAAAGAAAGAAAGAAAGAAAGAAAGAAAGAATCGAGGAACTAGAAAGAAAGAAAAAAGAAAGGAAGAACATAACGTAGGAACTAGAAAGAAAGAAAGAAAGAAAGAAAGAAAGAAAGAAAGAAAGAAAGAAAGAAAGAAAGAAAGAACCTAGGAACTAGAAAGAAAGAAAGAAAGAAAGAAAGAAAGAAAGAATCTAGGAACTAGAAAGAAAGAAAAAAGAAAGGAAGAACATAACGTAGGAACTAGAAAGAAAGAAAGAAAGAAAGAAAGAAAGAAACTAGGAACTAGAAAGAAAGAAAGAAAGAAAGAAAGAAAGAAAGAAAGAAAGAAAGAAAGAAATAATCTAGGAACTAGAAAGAAAGAAAAAAGAAAGGAAGAACATAACGTAGGAACTAGAAAGAAAGAAAGAAAGAAAGAACCTAGGAACTAGAAAGAAAGAAAGAACCTAGGAACTAGAAAGAAAGAAAGAAAGAAAGAAAGAAAGAAAGAAAGAAAGAAAGAAATAATCTAGGAACTAGAAAGAAAGAAAAAAGAAAGGAAGAACATAACGTACGAACTAGAAAGAAAGAAAGAAAGAAAGAAAGAAAGAAAAGAAAGAAAAGAACCTAGGAAAAGAAAGAAAGAAAGAAAGAAAGAAAGAAAGAAAGAAAAAAGAAAAAGAATCTAGGAACTAGGAAAGAAAAAAAAAAAAGAAAGGAAGAACATAACGTAGGAACTAGAAAGAAAGAAAAAAAGAAAGAAAAAAGAACCTAGGAACTAGAAAGAAAGAAAGATAGAAAGAAAGAAAGAATCTAGGAACTAGAAAGAAAGAAAAAAGAAAGGAAGAACATAACGTAGGAACTAGAAAGAAAGAAAGAAAGAAAGAACCTAGGAACTAGAAAGAAAGAAAGAAAGAAAGAAAGAAAGAAAGAAATAATCTAGGAACTAGAAAGAAAGAAAAAGAAAAGGAAGAACATAACGTAGGAACTAGAAAGAAAGAAAGAAAGAAAGAAAGAAAGAAAGAAAGAAAGAAAGAACATAACGTAGGAACTAGAAAGAAAGAAAGAAAGCGTTGTTTATTTCTTTCCTAAATAAAAATTATAATTTAAATAATTTATAGATTGCTGATTTTACTGTAGTGACGAATGTATTTTACCAGTGACTAATAAATGCTAGTTAAGCTCGATGGCGGCACTTGATTCATGGCGCAACCCAATCTTTCTAACTAAATCACACCAAATAAAAATATTAATATTAAATTTTAATCAAGCAATTTTTTGAATAATTTTCATTCCATCTCAGAGAAAGTGGTAAATTGTTTTCGTATTCCATGATTAACTTTGACTGCAGATACAATTACCACTTTCACAATTCTCCGACATGGTTGAGAAAATGCTGCTAACGGTGCTGCACTTTATGCCAATGTCTCTAAAACTGAATTCATAAGCTTCAACCAGCAAGGATCAGAACAAATTGTTTCAGGAGACTCAATAAAATCTGCCGAATCTTTTACATACCTAGAAAGCGAAATATATAAGAAAAAGGATAATGTAGATAGTAGGTAAATCCAAAACGTTGCTATAAAAGGCCGTAAAAAGGAAATTTAACATATTTAAATGTCTTCTTTTTCGTATATTTTTTTTTTTGAAACACACACACACACACACACATATATATATATATATATATATATATATATATATATATATATATATGGTGATTACGATTTGAATGTAATAAATTATAGCCATGGAATATTAGAATTTGAGCATTTTACACACACACATACATACATATATATATACACACACATATATATATATATATATATATATATATATATAGTGTAACCGGATATAAGAGACCCGGATATAAGAGATACCCGGATATAAGAGAGATTTTCTCTGGTCCCAAATTAGAGCCTGTGTTAATGTATATATAATAGACCAAACCAGGATATAAGAGAAACCCGGATATAAGAGACTTCTTCTCCGGTCCCGACAACTCTCTTATATCCAGGTTACACTGTATATATAAAAGGCTCAAACACTAATATTCCATGGTTAAAATTTATTACAACCATATATATATATATATATATATATATATATATATATATATATATATATATATATATATATATATATATATATATATATATATATATATATATATATATATAGATACACCTAGTGAGCCAGACAAACCTACCTAGGTTTCACCTAAACGGATCGTCAGGAAAGTTTGGCTAACGAGGCAAAGAGAAAACACCTATTTATAGGTAATAGCTAAAATCATACCACGTGACAAAATAAAAAACATGTATTTTACCAGTGACTAATAAATCTATCTATAGTTATCTATATTTATATGTATATATATATATATATATATATATATATATATATATATATATATATATATATATATATATATATATATATATATATATATATATATATATATATATATATATATATAATAAATATACAGTGTCAATTTCAGCTTATCTATATTTATTAGAAATATTTGCAGTAGTATATCTGGTGGAAATAGCCATTTTGTTTTTAATACTGTACTTCGTAGTGATTAAATTCGCGAATTCCAGGCAGATAAAACTCCGAAGTTAAAGCCAGTAATTTTATATAGCAAAACCACTCCTTTTCAAGATGTTTTTGCCTCATAAATTACTTCTTAAAATAGCACCAATAAAAGTGGACATGGATATTCATACGTCCCTCTCAAGGATGATAATTAGGGTATCAACTTTTTTTTTTCTGCTAAGGCATGGACGCATAATTTAAGAGAGAACAGTTTGTCAAAGTGCTCATTTGCCAAGTCTTTACTCGCTTAAGTCAGCCAGTGACAAACGACAAAGCGGAAGTAGGAATGGAAACATTTCTCTACGAAGGAAATATGGGACAAACAAATGAATGTTAATACTGTCGGCGCCGAAATTCGAACCCGGTTTTCACATTTACTTTCCTGTACTTATTACCATTACTATTAATAGCTTGTCCTGAGTGTGCGTTGTGTTTTTGTTGTTAGATGGCATTAGTAGTGTTAAGTTGCAAATAATTTTATTATTATAAGCCGGTTTTGTCTGCGCTGTATCTAACATAGAGAAAATTTAAAATGTTATTGCAATTAGCGAATATTTCTGTCTGAATTTTTTAGATAAAAAGATATCTTTATTTACATAATTTAGATTCAGACTATTGTTCTCCTCTTTGTAGTTCTTGCCACAACGTTTCGACTCTTGTGCCCTCAGCCTTCATCAGGTGTTTGCCAATCCGGGTAACCTTAAGAGGATTTCATCCTGAACGCTTTCTTTAATCTACGGTGCCATATTCTTCTCTTTACGCTGAGCATGTCTAGGAATTGTTCTTGTTATTACTCGTCTCGCATTCACTGAATCCTCATAAATACGTTGGATACTATTGTAAGTTGAAGTAATATGCTGTCTACGTAGTCCACCTCTAGCAGTGGTTTACCTACTTCACGCCGCTGGCGAGTATTGTATTTTGTTGATGTTATAAAGGTTAACATTTCATTTCCAGCCTCCGTTTTGGTTATTCCTCATTCAATAACTCATTCTAGGTGACAACAGATAGATAGATAGATAGATAGATAGATAGATAGATAGATAGATAGATAGATAGATAAGGGTCTTAGATAGTGTCATGTAGCGTACCTATAAACACTAACGGATATGTCACAGTAGTCCACCACCATTTCATTTCCAACCTCAGTTTTGGTTATTCCTTATTCAGTAAAACTTTCTCGGTTAAAACACTCTATGTGATCCAGTTTTAATTTATATAGGCTGAGAATATTAGATAAGTACAAAATATAAGTTTTTTTTTATATATACAGTAAAGAATATATGATCTTTAAATAAACCTAGAAAGTCTGCTGAGGATTGGATAAAACAAATCTATGAAACTTGGCATGTAGTTTTAAATAAGTGTTATGTACCATACCTATGAACACTAATTGGTATATCCCAATCCTTATTATTATATTGGAAATTATTGTAAGGTGGGAGGGGGTGACATGCTGTTTAAGTAGTCCACAACCAGCAGTGGTATATCTACTGATGGCGCGTATTTTGTTGATGATATAAAGATTACCATTTCATTTCCAATCGCCATTTTGGTCATTCGTCATTCAATAACCTTTTCCAGGTTACAACATTTTGCTGACGAGGATGAGATATTGACATTGCTTATTCCTCATTCAGTAATCTTTCTTAGGTTATAATACCTATTTTGTTCATTGTTTCTAAAAAAAAAATAGGACGTATTTCCGAATATATATATATATATATATATATATATATATATATTATATAAAAAGTAAAAATACGACGGATATGTAAGAATGCTTTTTGCAGTTTATGGAGAATGGAGTGTGTATAATTGTATATGGCTAAAATGGTTTGCGAATATTCATGTTCGAGTTTTCACTGAGAATAATGCATGAAAATAATAATTTGAGAATAATCTACGTCATATCTTTTGGCAGATAATCATAGTAGATAGAGAGCATACACAGAATACCAAACATTAAAAATTACATATCATTTAATCGTTTTGTGTCATGACATCTGCACAAATTAAGCAAAAAAAAAAAAAAAAAAAGAAAAAAAATGAAAAGAAAATGTGTGTAATTTGTTGCTTAAATCTAACGGCAAATATTTTTGAACCAGATGATAACGAGCGATGAAAAGTGGATACTTTAAAATAACTTGAAAAAAACCCGGAGGCAACGAAATTACATATATGACTAAGCGTTCCAAAGGCTAGTTTTCAATGACAAAATGGTGATGCTGTGTTTATGGAAAAAACAAACAGTAAATTTAAACAAATATTCATCCTAATTAGACCATCTGAAGTAACTATCGATGAAAGGCGTCTGAAATAATTAAGTTGGAAAAAAAGATCTGTTGTATTTGGAGATATTAGTTCCCATCATTATCAATAACATAGAGATCGATTCGCCATTTTTCTGCGGATGCTAACTAATGTCGTTAGTGTTTGATATGTTTATAGTGACCATGCTTTTCATCACTGGCAATGATTCTAGCCATGAAAATATACGGCCGTATTACGTTGAAACACTAGTTCTTGTACGATCACTGAAGTTGAGCAATGTCGGGTCTGGTTAATACCTAGATGAGTGACCGCTTGGGAATACCGTGTGTTGAAAGCTTCGATGTGCAGTTGATGTAATAGATAATGTCTTAGAATTGGAAATCGAGTTCAATTCCATTCGGATTCGTTATTTGCGCTTGACCTTGGTTCACGATTTTAGTCAACTTTTCTCTCAGTAGTTATAGGTTAATTAGTAAGATTTGTATCAGTACATCATTATTATCTTCAGAAACATTCTTACAATCTAAAGCATGTTGTTTTCGTCTTTAAATGACCTTTAATGAGCTGATACGCCGTAAAAACAAACCAATAGCCATGTAAGGTTTAGTATCAAGTCTGCACTTCAGTGACGAGTAGAGGGCGCCTCTTTAATCTGAGAAGCAGACAAATGATGAAGGACCCTTTGCCTAAGTTTATACACATTTCTCTGCTCATGAAGGTGATTTAAGTGTCTTAAACTATTTTTCTAAATGTCAGTTTTGCAGTTTGCTTTAAATTTTACAAAACTGTAGTTTGCAGAAGCTAACTATTTAAAGAATTTGGTCAGGGAGATCAACTGGAATTTTCGAGAGAAAATGTTCCAGATAGAAACTAGGAAAACCATCGTTATCATGTCTGGACACTTAAAGGTACATTTCCAAAGACAGAAAGAATATTTGTTGCATTTACCGTTGTCAAAGAGATTTTCTAAATTAATATTGCTTGTCTCAAAATGCCTCTAGGAATGCTTCAATCAGAGCCACTGAGTCCAAAGATCAACGTAGCCATCGGCATACCTGAACGCCTCTGCGCGCGTGACTGAAAATGATGATCAAAGGACTCAACGGCTGAGGAGAAACTGCTGCTGTGCCTGAGGCTGAAACAAGATTGAGAACGAAAAACGGCCCTTTTCAGGGATACCCCCCATTCAAATTGTTAACTGCCCATTTAGAAACGTGCCTCAGTTGCCCCCAATTGTTGTCACTGATATTGATTTTCGGGTAGGCCGACTTTAAACATAAACTGCTCCAATTGAACGGTAAAATTCCCAGTAATGAAAGACCCGGTCGAAGACGGGTTATACTGCCAGCTTAGCATATATTAAACATTCTGTGTAGCATATTATCCAGTTTTTACACAGTTTTATTTTAAAAAAAAAAGAAGCAATTAACAATCTCTGGAAGAATGAAAATGCCAACTCCAGTAATACTTTGCCGAGAAAGGTAAAACATTCTGTGAGGATGGTAATATGAAGTTCTTTTCACAAGAAAAATTGTGAAAATAAAATTAAAAAATGTAAATATGTCATTCAATAACCTTTATGCGAAACTATGAAAGCGCAACTTTAATTTTCTCGAATAAAACGAACTCGCATTTTCGTCAATAGATTCACAGAAATTTCAGTGAATATCGGATATAATTAAGAACAGTTTCCCATGATATTTATATTCAGAATCGTACGATAGCTTCGAATCTGGAACAAAACTTGACATTCAGAATGCGATCGAATTATTTGCTGTAGTGGGTGGGAAGAAGAAAATGAGTTTTCCCTAAATAGAATACCACACTGCGTTTACCACTTCATTAAATTGAAATTTCACTAAGATAGAAAGCAACAATGATAATCAAATTAAGAGAAAATGGTTTTCTTCCTTCCGACGATTAATTTTATTTGGACTCGAAAATGAATCTATTTAAGACGCAGTGACACAGAAGAATGAAACTTGGTTCATTTGACAGCAAGAGGTGGGTGTTCGAGCCACCGCAAATGACAGAATTTCGTATGCTGATTTTCAAAGTATTCTTTCCGCACGTGGTAGAATTTTGCAATCAATCCGTATGTCATCTGTGTTGAAAAATATTTTATCATTTCGAAATGACCCCTCGTGTTTCCATAATCTAACCGAATATCCCAAACATTTATTTTTGGCATCCATTCTTGGTTTAGTCAAAAACTTTCTCTCACCCCTTTCTGTTTAATGTTAATTTGCGGTTTTGTTATCGCTATCATTGTCTTTACAACTACTCCAACATTCTATCGCTTCAGATTTGTTTTCATTTCTATGTTTTTTTTTTTTCTGCTTTTGGAATTTGTTAGTAATTTAATCTTTATAGAAATCTTATGAAACAGGGGGTGGGGGGACCGTTATAACGACAGCATATCAACAAAGACAATGATTCTAGCTTTAAAAAGTGTAATTCATTTCGAAATCATGAAAAAATGAAAGTAACTCTAAAATACATAGTTGTGTAACACACTAATAATATTAATATTGACATTAGTCGTTTCCTTATAAGGAAAAATTCGGCCTTCATTGACCGGGCAACCAGTACTAACTAAATTGCGTTTTTATTCAATCCCTGGGCATGGGGCTGAGATCAAAGCGTAGTATCTGTTCTCTTCATCTAGCTGTTTTCTTATAAGTAAACATTCAGCATTCGTTGATCGAGTAGCCAGCACGATTTTCAATTGAAATTTATAAAATCTTTCTATTAAAATATTTTTTTTCAAGAAGATATGTTTCCCAAGTTTCGTAACAGTTATTTATTTTTTCCAGGATTGATAGATGTTTCCTAATCGTACATTTAGAGTGGAACGTTAGCATATTATGTCATTATTAGAGGAAAGTGAGAAGGAAAATACAATAGAGAGATGAACAAAAGTGGCAAGAGAGAGAGAGAGAGAGAGAAGATAGCAGAGAGAGACATGAGAGAGAGAGGGAGACAGAGAGACATGAGAAAGAGAGAGACAGACCTTACAAGAGAGAGAGGGAGAGACAGACTGAGAGATATGAGAGAGAGAGACATGACAAGGGAGAGAGAGAGAGAGTCATAACAAGAGAGAGAGAACCTGACGAGAGAGAGAGAGAGAAATGAAAAAAAAAAGAAAAAGTACACCATGTGACTTAAAATTGAATGACAGGCATAAAAACAGATGTCTCTTAATCGTTGATTATGTCATTATTTTCTCTTCGAGTTACATGTGCTATCCATTTTAGCTGCTGCTGCTGATGCGTCCCTTCTATAATGACAGGGATGCCCACGAAGTCAAATGGACTGTGAATGGTTACACCCGGGTTTGCTTTTATGACAATTAAATGTAAAATCAAGACACGAGGTCTTCAAAAGAACCAGCCACTATCTACAAGTAGGGAAAAATAAAATAAATGAAAACTTTCGGGATCAAGTACTACTCAAAAGGAAGGTATAGGAATTCCGTAGTGAGGCAGGCTACGTTCTAGAATAACCAGCTTCTTGGCTTGACGGTCGAACTCTCTGCTTTTGAGCAGAAAGGAACCCGGACGAGGTTCCGCCGAAGGGCAGATTCTCGTTCGGGGAGAATGACCAACCCGATCTCGTTTATACGGGTTATACGGGCATTATTTAGCCGAGCCTACGGGCTCGGAAAACCCACGATAAACTCGGCCTTGTGCCACATGCAACCCTCGTGAGGGGGTGGCTAGATACCGAATAACCAGTCGGAAAATGTCCGTTGGCGAGTTAGAATCCGTCAGTTGCAGTTAGAGAGACAGTTGCAGTTAGAGAAGGGCAATCGGACTGCTCGCTGACCAAAGGAAGATAAAGGACTTTTATTATACTAAAATAGGATTCATGTTTTCTTTTCTCTCTGCGGCGATATTTCATCGACCTTTTCTTTGCTGAACTTACGCCAAACATTTCCACCTCTCCGTTTCTATATAAGTAACATATGGACATATTAACTAAGAACACATTACACGTAGCTGTAGATGGCGGTAACTCATCTGATCACAATTAGGGATGAAACTGACAAGTCAGTGAAAGACTAACAGAGATTCTCAACTCTATTTTATCACTTTTACTCAAAATAGGATTAATAAACTGTTGTGGTAAGAGCCAGTTACCGTCTTTACTATTATGAATGGGCTGATCCATTCCTGATAGGTAGTCCTGGGTTATTATCTAGAAGATAATACTATTGCGTTGATTGTCTAGCTGAGTAGTGAATACTACCATCACGACTGTCTCTGTCGAGTTAAGTGTTGTGTCTAAGCACGAACTCACAAGTCATCGTGACTGAGGGTTTAAGCGTACTTAAAAATTAAACGTTTATTATACTCCTCCTATCTCACACATTATACTCCTCCTATCTCACACATAACATATATCCATAGAATTATTATATGTTTATTACCTCATGACCGGAGACTGGGGAAAAATAAGGCAGATGTGGAAGCCAGAAATACGGCGTGAAACTGAAATTGTAGAGAGTAAATAAAAAAAGGCAGTGGAAAAGGACAAATCCGGTAAAAAGAAAAGAGGAAAGAATGAAGACAAAAGAATAACAGAAAGAGAAATAGTCTTACGGTCTTGAGTTCATTACTCCTTTATCCCTTAAATGGGAGCAGCTTTAATAAATCTTTTACTTTTAGAGTCTGTCAAAAACTTACGGAAAGGCAAATACTTCCTTCTTTAGGTGACAGAATTGATACACAGTTGGGCAATCAGGTCTGTTTTCGATTCGTTATTGACTTGGCAGAAGAATCCACACGGCAGGCTGTAGCTATATTTATTAGTAGACTGGCTACAGGAGCAAGTCTTTTCTGTTATTTAACCCATACTGGGGGATAAGCGATTGATTCATACATTTCTAAATGGTATTTGCGTGTAAGTGAATGTAACAAACTCGGCTGGAATTCGAACTCGGCTCGCCGATTTCTCATCCCGAGTCGTTACCCATCACATCAACCGCAAATCCAAGCTTACGACACCTTGTATTCCCAAACAGTCACCCACCTAGGTACAAACCAGGCTCAATTCTGGTGATTGAACGAGAACTGGTGTTTCAACGTGATATTGTCTTGAGTCTAGATAGATATTACGGTATATAAAAAAAGTATGATATTAATATTAGTCGTAGAGGTTTATACAATAATGCTTTATAATTGAAATATACCCTATCCGAAAAATATAATCGCGCAATTTTATGAATAAATGGTGGAGCGAATGCAGTAGTGTGCAACGCTCCTTAAAAAACAAAGGCTGTACACAAGACTGAATTTTGTGAAATATTAAAACGTGTTCTACAATGAATGTCACATTGACCTTTGTTCATGGAAAATTTGGCTTTTCTCCCAAATACCTTCAGAAAATCAATATTCTGAAATCAAAGCATTGTATCTTCGGTGCTCGACCTAAAAAGCTTGCTTATTGGGTTCGTGTAAGAGAGACACGCTTAGGCGTGGTTGTGATGTGTGAGTGTCCATCAGGATGGCCAATTGAAGGATTTCACGTGATTAGAAAACATCTTAGTCCATTTTTCCCCATCGTTGTTAAATACGGTGCGCTTGTGAACCAAGCAGACATTCATCAGGTAACGATGAAAACACGTATATTCATTCATGAACAATACGTAAAAAATTATGTCGGGAGCAAAATTTGATTGACTTATTTTTTTTTCTACGGCTTATCGACATTTTCAAGGTTATTTGAAGCTGATAAATATTTTTTTAGATTGTAACAATATTTTTAGAGATAAAAATGATTTATTGGTACGAGTCTTACTAATTAACCCATAGATGGGGATAGGAGAGGCTGATTGATACCTTTCACAGCAGTATTTGCGCAGAAGGGAATATAATGAACCCATCTGAATTTAGATCTCGGCACTGCGATTAAAAATTCTCAGGCATTATAAATTACACCACCTGCACATCTAAGCTTTCAACAGCTGGTATTCCCAAGCAGTCACCCCTCTAGGTATTGCACAGGCTCGACGCTGGTTAACTTCGGTGATTGTACGAGAGCCGGTGTTTCAATGCTATATGACCATAAACCCGGGATGAAAATCTCAAACGGTTTAGATATAATGTTTATATTAAACACAAGTATAAACTGTTGGAAATGCTAGGTAAATTTGATTTTATTTGGGAAATATCTTATCCAGAATTTATACTTGGATTAGAGGCCTGCATACGGATTAAAAATGAATGCAGTAAATTCAGAAAGATAGAAAGAGAGTAAGACAAGGATATGTTGCCTTACCGGATTTATTTAACCTCTAAAGTGAGACGATCATAAGCGAATTAGAAGTCCTGCCATGATTCGTTATTGGCGACCACAATCTTAACATGACATGACATATGCAGATGACACAGTGTTGATAACAGACGCAAAAAGGAAACTACAGGAACTCCTGCAGAAGACAATGAAGTAAAGTGAGAAGAAAGGACAAAACATCAGTTGTAAGAAAACAGAATGTATGGTTGTCAGTAAAAGAGCCCAACGATAGAATAACAAATTGCAGATACCAAAATCAAGCTCGAAACATGAGACACCGAAATCCGAAGGTGTCCTGGGATAGCGAAAGATGCCTTCCAAAAGCTAAGCAAACTATTTACAAATATCAGTAATGGAAAGAGTGGTAACAATTATTGGATTTCAGAAATCTAATTTCAAACCAAAAGCGGTTGCTTGGTCAATAAATACCGAATGTTTCCTTATACGGATAAGGCTGATATTACCATTGTCATTCATCTACCTTGCAGATTGGCCGGTGTTGAAAAAGACGTAGCAAGGCTGGGAAAGTATGATACGGCTGATTTTGGTCAAACTTTGGGGGTATGTGTCGGATCGAGAAAGCTTCAGAAGACTAGGCTGGAGGAAAGGTTTTTCCATCTTCTGTATGTAGCCATAAGTTCTATGCTAACAATTTCATTACTGCATATATATATATATATATATATATATATATATATATATATATATATATATATGTGTGTGTGTGTGTGTGTGTGTGTGTGTATGTGTGTGTAAATTTTACCAAACCATGCTAAAATCCATTCAAAAAACATTTTCGGCATTAAATGACCCACTGATGTTGATATGCCGTAAAACAAAATAACCAACCAACGAACCAGCAGTCTCTTCTCTCACACTTCTCACTTGCAGAACTCTCTTCCAGCTTCTTGCTTCCCAGTCAACTTTGATCTTCAAAAACTGAAATGCCATGTCAATCGTTATCTTCTACCTTCTTGTTTTTTTATTTATTTATTGTTCTCTCGCCTTAATAATGTTTTCTTTTTTTTTTTTATATTCTTTCACACTCAGTAACCGCTTGCGTCTTAGTGGCTTTATTGCCGTGTTTTGGGTGAAATGATTAGAGAAAATAAAATTGAGAAAATGCAATAAAGTTAGCAGAAAAAAAACCCCAAATAAACAAACAGTGAGAACGTCCTTGGAACTGTTGAGTTTAGGGAGGGCGCCTGGGGTATAGAATAGCAGGTTGAGCTCATTACGCAAGTATCGACAAAGATTACACACCTGTAAGAACGACTGACAAACAACACTCGGCAATTTCCGTCAGCTCAGTGAAAGCTCTAGAGCAGTTTTTAATTAAATGAAGATACGAAAATGATGGGAACGGAATTTTTTTTTATATTATTATTATTATTATTATTATTATTATTATCGAAACAACGATAGAAGCATGATTCTTCATTGATTTTTGTCTTCTTAATTTGAATATCAGAGAAGAGATGAAACTACAGTGTGTTTAGTTTGAGCAGCTGACCTACATTTAGCAAAATGTCGTTCTTTTTCACTCAGTGGAAATATCGTGAGAAAATAACAAGAAAAAAATAATATTGTTTGTATAGTGATTTTCCAAGTGTAGATTATATGTGGCTTAAGGGCGAATGTATGGGGCACTATGTGAGGATCGAACTCATTACTAATTGATCAAGCGATACAAGCTTGCTAACAATTACACTACATTGAACTGTCCCAAATATTGTTTGTATAATAAACTTATCTTAATGCGTAAGTATCTTTTTACGTGTGCTTGCCACATAACGTAAGAAGGCTACCAATGTGAATTGACCAAAGATTGCCGGACGCAACAGTGAAATTAGCGATAACCAGCATAGATTGCGAAGGAAAATTAAGTCCGCTGTTTACGAAAATAAAGAAGAGATAGGAAATTAAACATGTTTACGAATTATAAAAATAACGTTTATAGTGATAAGAACTAATATCGGATAAAAATCATTTAAAAAAATTACTGTTGTTTACATTCTAGGTTCGAAACCGAAGCTAACAGATCCTTTTCTTTTTATGTGCTCTCTACTTTCAGGGCGTAGAAGATCATGGCTCTCCCCTATTCCTTGTAGCTCTCAATAAGTTTTGTGCCTCTGCCAACCACGTTCTGCCATCCACTTGCTTAAGCCCGCCAGATATGTCATGCGTTGTTTTCACTTTGTCGACCTGTGAGTATCAGATTCTCCAGGCCCTCCTTTCTCATTACGTGTCCCAGAAATTTAATCTGCCTTTTCCTTATGTTAAGTATAAACTTCTTCCATGTTTGCATCCTCTCCAAGACCTCATCGTTGCTCACACGCTCGCTCCTTGATATCCGTAACATCCTTCTGTAGAAGTACATCTCTGCTGCCTCGAGTATCTTTTTCATCTTTGAGGAGATCGTCCAACATTCGCTGCCGTATAGGATGACAGATGTCACGTAGCAGCTCAGTATTCTTTTCTTTGTCACCATAGAAATCCTCCTGTCTCGCAGTACTCTGCCCAGCTTATGGAATGCATCCTTGGCCATCCCAATCCATCTTCGGATCTCAGTGTCGCACATAACGTCCTCCGTCAAAAAACTTCTCAGATATTTAAATTTCCGCACATGTTTGATTTTAGTGTTCCCGACCTGCTAATCACATTTTGGGTTCATCTTTTACTGATGAGTCCCAACGTGAGATTTACTTTCATTAAAAAGTGTAATTCAAATATTGCTCTCTCAGATTAGTTTTTGTGAACCAAAATGGTAGCAACAAGCGTTTACTAAAAACGCGGTTTCCCTGATTGGAAAAAAAAATTGACACAGTTTCGTTTTCTGGCAGATGCATAAATTTTCTTTAGTAAGACTTCCCAATATACGCCGGTTGTTCTTAATAATACTGTTTAAAAAATAAAATAAAAACCCCCCCAAAAACACAGAGATACCCAATCAAACACGTGTACCCATTAAAAATAACGTTTAAAATAAGAATAAATTTACTACAGTTCCGAACTGAATCCTTTATTTATCATATTGAATGACAATGGCTTAGTTGGATGAAGCGTTGGTTTGTGAATTTGGTCTGAGTGGTTGTGAGTTCAATCCATGTATAAAGCAGTGTTTACTTGTACTCAGGAGAAACGGGCGAGCAATATCTATACCGTGCTGAATAAAATAAGAACTATACGATATTCCTAGACATGAACAGTGAAACAGGAAAAGTCTAGGCCCGTAGATTAAATAAAGTTCAAAATTAACCGGTAGGTTACTCAGATCGATATACACCTAAGGAAGGCCGGTGAGTACAACCGCCGAAACGTTTTGATTAAAGCACTAGTCTGAATATTAATGGTGTAAATAATGATAGATCCTCATCCCAGAAACTCGTTTTGATTAAAGCAATAGTATAAATATTAATGGTGTAAATAATGATAGATCCTCATCCCAGAAATTCGTTTTGAATAAAGCAATAGTCTGAATATTAATGGTGTAAATATTGATAGATCCTCATCCCAGAAATTCGTTTTGAATAAAGCAATAGTCTGAATATTAATGGTGTAAATAATGATAGATCCTCATCCCAGAAATTCGTTTTGATTAAAGCAATAGTCTGAATATTAATGGTGTAAATAATGATAGATCCTCATCCCAGAAATTCAGATAAAAAATGTGGTATTCAGTTATCAAGTTTCTTTACTTTTCCAATTCGCTTAAAATATCGGAATATCAAAATATAGAAAATATTGCTCAAAATATTGAAAGCTGTTGAAATTGTTTGGCGTGGGTTCGCTTGTTACGCTTTTCTTTTTTAATTAATCATTTACAGATGTGGAAAAACCTTCTCTACTCTTTTTATCAAACAGACTCATATCTCTGCGTTTTCGTTATATATATATATATATATATATATATATATATATATATATACCCAAGTATATAATTGGTATATACGGAATGAATTCAATAACCAACAATTACTATTCTTAAAAGAGTGCTCAATACAAAGTAGAGCAGATATAATTATTTTTTATAAAAAAAAAAAAAATTATAACATAAGTATGTTATAAAATCACTACAAAATAGCCATTTTGTTTCAACACACTCTGTGTCTTATCAAGTGATGTTGAAAAAATTTTTTTTTTCAACATCATCACTTGATAAGACACAGAGTGTGTTGAAACAAAATGGCTATTTTGTAGTGATTTTATAACATACTTATGTTATAATTTTTTTATAAAAAAATTATATATATATATATATATATATATATATATATATATATTCATGAATCATTCATACAAAAAACAAATATAGAGGTTAATGATTTAAATGGCGAGAATACATCTTCGCAAACAATATAAATAAGATACACCAACCCCGAACCTGTATATGAATGATATGATCCCTGTTTATAAATTACAGTTGCATAAGGTCTTTTTAATTTTTTTACAAGCTTTCGTCTGTTCCTACACACATCCTCAGGTATGGAAATAGATTTTGTTCTTGTTTTTACTTCTCGGTAATAAGAGGACAACGAAAATAGAGATGTAATCCGAAAAAATGCTATGAGAAATGTGTTATTGTTTTGGAACGTGCGGTCGCAACGCTGAGTTTGAATTTAAATTTTAAGGTTGTGCGTTTTTGTAAAAATAGAGAATATATATATATATATATATATATATATATATATATATATATATATATATATATATATATATATATATAACCCACGATGTAATAACTGGGAGTCAAAGAAGATGTCATTACACGGGT